CGGCCTTCCTCGCCATGGACCGTCCGCCGCCATAATCGAGGCGGACGTGATTGCCGCCTTTCTCAGGACTCTCCGAGGGCCGCGCCGTGGAAGGGAAGGTGGCTCGGGCGGCAAGCCCGGGAACAGCTGCGCACTGGGCGGCTCATCCCGGGGAGGCAGCGGCTCTGCCCCTGGAGGAACCCTTGGCAGGCGAGAGGCCCGCGGGGCTACTCAGCCCGCTGACCGGCCCCGGCTGCCCCGGAAGGCGGAGACGCGGGACGGGGGGATTCGCGCGCTGCCGGCGGAATTTGGCCCGTTCGGAAGTCTGCTGCAGCTGCTGCTGCTGCTGCTGCTGCGACAGGGCGAGCGCTGGGCTGCGCAGGAGCTGCTCCCCGACAGGTTGGCTCCCTCTGTCCTGCTCTGCGGCGCGAGGCGGCAGCGGCGGACCCGCTGAGGTGGGCTACGGCCGGTGCCCTCGCCCTTGTTCGGCTCTATTTCCACAGGGGCCGCCGAAGGCTGCAGCCCCGGGCGGCTCCCCCAATGGTGCCAGCGAGGGGAAAGGGGGCGCTGTCACTCACCCCCGTCCCCGGGCCTTGAGGAGGCCGGGTGCCCCTCGCCCCCCCCTCACCGCAGCTCTCCTGCCCCAGCCTCCCCTCCTCCGTGTCCCGGGCTTGGTTCTGTTGCCTCCTCTGCCGGAAGGCTGGCCTGCTGGCTCAGGGCCCCAGAGAGCTCTCTCTTTTCCTCCTCCCTCCGCCCCGTTGCCAATTTCCACTTATTCCGGAGAGAGAAGAGGGTCCCAATCCAGTCCCGGTGAGTGCAAGGAGCAGGTGTGTGGAGGTCCGGTTTCCAACTGCAGGTCAAGGGTGGCCCTTAGAATCCCAGCAGAAGGAGGCGAGGAGCGGCCAGGGCTCCTCCAGCAGCGGAGGAGGATTCTGCGCCCAGCCCCCCCTCTCCCAGAGCTGCCCACGCCTTCCTTTCCTGCCCTCATCCTGGGTCCAGGGTGGCGTCCTCCAGCCAGGCCCTGCACGGCTTCTTGCCCTGGAGAGTCAGCCTCGGTGCCCGTGGCAGGTCGGGGGCTGCCTTGTCAGGGCCTTGTTCCAAAGCTTAGGCAGAGTCTCTGGGGGCTTGGGGGGGGGGGGCAGGTGCTTCTTCCCTCAGAGAGGACTGAGTGTATATGTGTGTGTGTGGGGGGAAGGAGAACTCCTTGCAGCGCTGAGGGAAGCCCTGCTCTGCCTGCTCACCCTCTCCAGCTTGGCCCCTCCCCAGCCTTTCCAGGGCAAGGGCACCAGGAGCGTCCTGGGGATCAGTCCAAACAAGCCATGCGGGCCCAGTGGGTCCCCTGGCCTGGCCTCGGCTCAGATGGCCTTCTTTGGGGTCCAGGAGTCTCACCTGAGCAGCAGAGCCTTCAGGTGAGGGAGCAAAGCCAAAGGTTTCTTCCGCCTCTGGTGAAGAGGTTCTTCCTGCCGTCCCCAATGGGAGGACGCCTAAACCAGAGGGCGAGCCTGTCTGCCTCTCTGGCCGGCTAGCTGGCTTTGCCCAAAGCCCCCCCCCAGGTCCTCCAGAAGGGCGAGCGTTTCTCTCAGCAGAACAGGGACCCTGCTTGCTTTCTGCCAGGCCCTCATGCACACCTGCCTGCCTAGAGGGAAGCGGGCCAGGTGCACCCCTCCTCGACCCACTGCCTGCCTTGCCCTGCCCCTCACCTACTGTTATTTGTGAGCGGGAACCCCTGTGGAGACCAGCCCTCCTTCTCAGGCAGACTCAGCGGAGCAGTTTGACCTGCAGGGCAGGCCAGGCCGTGGGGGGGGGGCGCCACCTGGCCCATCTTCCCTTAGAGGAGCCATAGAGGAGCTGTCAGAACAGGAAGAGCGACAGACAGACCGGCAGATGGTGGGGAGGGGAGAGGGAGAACATGTACCAGCCTCCCTGTTTGTGCTCCAGCTCAGCCTGCCCGGAGAGCCTTCAAGAAGCAGACGCCCATTTCTCCCTGGCTGGGCTTCTTTGATTCTCATTCTTCAAAGTCTTGCAACAAGCTGACCTTTCTGCCCTCTGGTTGGTGAATTGGATTTGGCTGGGAAGGAAACGGCTCAATGGTTAGAGCACAGACCAGGAGGCCAGGCAGAGCTGTCCTCAGTTCTGCCACTTACTTCCTCTATGATCTTGGGTAAGTCACTTAACAGAGAATGGGGCATTTCTCCTTTTGCCTTGTTTAAAGGAGCACCTACCAACCCTAACCCCCCCCCCCTTTTGAAATGTTTGGATTTGATATGCAGGTTACTGTGGGGTGCAGTCTGGCAGGGAGGAGGCAGGGGTGGGGATGAAGGTGAGGGCAGGAAAGGTATTTGGTCTCTGTTTGTTCTGCCTTGTTTTTCTAGGAATCAGTTGTTCTGACAGGGAGGCATTCTGGTGAAAGAGGCCAGTGAAAGAGGCGCAGGAGTGGTGGGGTTGGGGAGAGAAGGACAGCAGCCGAGAATTTACTGTAGGCCATAAACAGATCCCAGATACTGTCAGTATGAAAAATGGGACCTTCCTCTGCTTGTACATTTTCCAGGGTGATCTGGCCAGTTCTGGTTCTTGCTTAGCTCCCTGCTGGCATGTCCTTGGCTTCTTATTTTTGTTTTTGTTGTTGAAGTTGATGCAAGGGGTTTTTCTCTCTTTGAAAAAAGCATGAAGAAAAATAATGGATAAACTGTTTCTGCATTAAAAAAATGCAAGAAAGTGAAATGTTATGTGAACATGGAAAGATTCCACATTTAACACGTTTGGTCTTTACAAAAGAGAGGTGAAAGTCAGTTTGGTCCTTGCATGATGGAAAGGTGCTCACCTTGATGACTATACCACTGGATCTGGACTTCTGTGGTCCCTTCAGATTGCAAATGGCTTTCCTTGAGGCACCTTCTGGGCACTTTTGCAGAGAGAACACATTCTGCTTACACGAAGGGAAGGGGCTGAGCCTGTTCCTGCAGCTGATCATGTGTGGTGCCCGCTGTTTGGCTGTGTGCTGGAGATGAGGTAGGTCAGTGCTGGCCTCACTAGCAAGAACGTGGCTTTCAGCTGGGTAGAAATGGCAACCTGTCTTCCACTCCCATCCCTTCTCCAGGCTGCTCTCACAGCACTCAAATTGGGGGGGGGCGGGGGACAGAGCTCAGGCTATAGGTAGGGAGGCCTTCTTTTTGGTTCGTTTGTGTGTGTGTGTGTCTTGTGTACAGCACTCAGCCTCTTGTTGGATTTTTGTCCCTTATGCAATTGCATGGCTTGTTTGGGGGGAGGTGGGGAGCGAGCGTAGGCCCTCCTCTTCCAGAGGGCAGCAAGGAATGGTAGCTGTCCATGGGGTCACCAGGTCCAGCCCACCTTTAGTGGGACCCGGGAGAGGGCGGAGGAGAGGAGGCGACTCTTGCCTTGGGTCCTTGTCGGTCACCCTGTTTGCAAGGGCTGGCAGGCAGCTTTCTGCAGCAGCTTCAACCAGATCTGGAACAGAGAGAACCTTCGCAGGCAGCCCAGGGGCATCCAAGCTCTTCAGTTTCTGGGTGGAGGTCAAGAGACCGCTTTTTCCATCAGTGATGAAGCCCGGAGCCTCTCCGGAGCCTCAGGATAGTCCAGGGAAAAGACAGAGAGGATGGGTGGGGTGGGGTGGGGTGGGGGTGGAAATTCCACCTTTAAAAAAAATATCCTGGGATGCCTTCTCTGCCAAGCCCTAGGACTCTCCAGGCCCGGCTTCATGCCAGGACCAGCAGGTTCCTCCAAGAACATGGTGGAAGCGCAGGGCTTTTGCTGCGCCTGATTCTCCCTTGGCACCAAGAGTGACACGGACAGCTACCTTTTGCTAAGAGCTCCTGTCCTCCCTGTAAGCAACAGCATGGCCCTTGGTGACGGCCATAACAACAACATGTGCTTTCAGTCAAATTCTGCCCAACCCATCCTTCCTCCACACGAGGATGCCCTTCTCCAGCCATATCCCAGACAGAAAAGGGAAGATGCTGGTGTGGGTCCTGGGAGGGCAGCAAGGGCATCGAAGAGCACACCCACATTATCTGCCCTGCCTTTCCCCTGAAATGGTCTGAATGCACCTGTCCCTTTTGATCTGGAAGCTAAGCAGGGTTGTGCCTGGTTACTCCTTGGATGGGAGACCAACGAAGGGATCCCAGGGATCTTTCCCAGATAGGAGGAGGAAACCTCAGGGAGCCATTGTTGCTGCCAGTTAGAGTTGGCAATGTTGGGTGAGATGGGCCTGACTCAGGAGAAGGCAGCTTCTTATCAGCACATCTACAGGGCAGCAGGTGGTTTGAAGGGCTGGGGACTGGCCAGGAAAGCCAGGGCAGGGGAAGGAGGGAGGGGCTCCAGGCTAGCTTTGGTTATGGGCCTGCAGGGGGTTGTGGGCAATTAGGGATCATCAGAGAAAGAGGCGAGGCTGCACAAGATGAAGGCTGGGTTATGTAAGGCTTGAATTCCAAGCCACCTTCCCATCAGCCAAATGTGTCTCATGCTGAACAAAACAGGAGCAGTGGCAAGACGCAAGACACAGCATGTGCATTTTGACAACAGTCTGTCACAAACAATGCATTTCAAGGGAGAGCACTAACACTTTGGTGCTATTTGCACAACATGAGGAAAAATGATAAAACATCTGAAGGGAACGTGTGAACTGAAACCACGGCAGAGATGTTGAAATGTAGCAGGAATGGAGCAAATCTCCTAAATCAGGTTGCAAAGGAGGCCCTCAGTCAGATGGTCTCCCTCCTGGCCCGGACACTTCACATGGAGGAGAGGGAGTCTTCAGTGATGACTCGTTCCCTCTCAAGGAACATGCGATGACGCGTGGGATGAGAAGGTGGGGCGAGGCTAGAGCCCCACAACGGCACTGTTGCTGGGCCGTCCCGTCCAGCGGAAGCATCCTCAAGGGATGTGGTCCCCCTGCCTCCATTTAAAGCCCACCGAGGAAGGAAAGGCTTCCCATTTAGGAGGGACTCTTTTGCAGCAGGGTCAAACAGGGCTTGTGGTGGGAAAGGTTGCCCTTCTGGTCACATGACTCTCTTGCTCTGGGGCATGAAAGCCACGTGTGACCGCCCTGCAGACCTTGCCAGACAACCCTCCCCTCCCCTGGTCCCCTTCTCCAGGCTCAGAAGGTTCCCAGCCCTTCAGCCATTCTTCCGAGGGCTTGCTCCACCCTCCTGGCTGGCCTCCTCGAGACGCATGGCAGCAGCTCCCCATGGTACCCTAACCCTGAACGAGGGTGCCTGGGACAGTGGAGAAGGAACCCAAGCCGACCAGAAGGGCCTCTCTCTCCTGCCCAAGCCGCCTTCTCGGGGAAAGGGGCAGGACAAAAAGGCTTGGGGGGCTGGTGGGGACAGCAGGAGCTGCCTCCTGAGCGGAGCCATGGGCCCCCTGTCTCTGCCTTCTTCCGCCGGCCAGCAAGAATGGTGGTGAAGATGATTAGGGCTGCTGGGAATTGAACCTTGGGGCTTGCTGCCTGTGAAGCTTGGCCTCACCCCTTGTGCTTCCAGCTGTAGGAAGAGTTGGGAGACATGGCGTCTCCCTGCCCCCCCTTTTTTTTGGCCAAGGAGCGGGACAGACACTGGCACCTTCTAGGAGACCCTCCGCCTACAAGAGCAGCCCCTCCGTGCTGGCCCTGGCGAGTGGCGGGCACAAAGGCCCTGCAAGTGAGAGACGCTTTTTAAAAAATAGTTCGTGGACCGGAATTCAGCACACGACCATCTGCAGTGCCTGCAAAGGGCTCCGTCTGTCTTCTGGTTGCTTAGAGATCCATGTGCTCTGCTCTGAAGTCACTTCTCCTGCTGGTTCTTTCCGCCAGAGAGAGGATGCAGGATCCCAAGGGGGAAAGGGCCTGGAGCCGCCAGGAGGCCCCACCTCGCCCCACCCCTGCCCTGTGAATCCCCTTTGCTTCTGTGGACGTTTGTGGGGGAGAAGTTGCGTCCTTCTTCAGAAGCCACCTGCTTGCCAGGCTGTGGTGGGAGAGCTCCTTGAGCTATTAAGTCTGGCATGAGTGCTCTCTGGCCATGGGCCATGGAGTGCAACCTTGACCCCTTCCCTGCCAGCCACACCTGGGACCGTTCTGGGCTGGGCCGCCAGTTCAGATCTCAACAGAATGCCAGGCCTGGCCTTTGAGCAGCCCCAAAACATGCGCCACAGAGAGGCACGGGTTGGAATCTGCCGGGGAGGGCCTGAGCCCAGATTTGTTCTCTGTTCTTCAGGTTTTATGGTCCTTGTGGATGGACCGGAGGGTCTGCCCTCTGAGGAAGTGCCTGCTCAGGCCCGCTGGTCAGAAAGGTGGCTTCATGAGGTGGTGAGCCAAGGTGGCACATGGAGCTGAGATAGCCCAGCATTGTGGACAAGGCAGGGCTGGAGGGGAACAGGGTTGCACCTTGTGTTTGTAGGCTGGGTGGCGGCTTTTGACTTCCAGGGGTTGAGGGTGCTTGGTGTGTATGTGTGTGTGTGTGGGGGGGGGTCGGATGGGCTTGAGTTTTCAGAAAAACTGTTATTACCATTAATTTTTCTCAAGGTCGACCAAGTGCTTTCCATGATAGGGATATAGAAGAATGCCTCCCCACGGCTTTTCCTCTCCTGCGGGGCTTTCCTCGGTTCTTTTCTCTTTATTTACAAAGTTGTCTAACACACCTGGAATTGCACAGAGCCGGTTAAATGGAAGGCTTGTGAAGAGAGAGCAAGAAACTCTACACAGGGCTTTGAGTTGCGCCTGCCCCCATCCATGCCCGCTCATCCGGGAAATGGATATTGCTGTGAAGTATGAACTTCTGATGGGATGTTTTGATGCCTTTCAGAGGGGCTTCAGCAAGAGAATTTTATTTTATTTTATTTCAAGGATTCTTGATTGTAGTGGCTATTCACTGGGGCTTAGAAAGTAGGTGCAAATAATTTAATGGAGGCAAACAAAACAAAGACTTCAGCTAGGGAGTGACACCTTTTGGAGAGTCTTCTCAGAACAATAACTGTTTTAGTATCATTGCTACTGGGGGTAGGTGAGGGTGGTCTCCTCTCCAGATCTATCAAATTGCAGAAACATGTTATGATGTGCCATAAATTTAAACAACCATCATTTTATTTCTAAATTGTTATCCTGTAAACACATGCTTCAAGCAACCAAACAAACAGCTATACATGTGGACATCATCCATTGGTCAATGTAGA